TTCTGTCTCTACAAATAAAAACACATATGTAATGTGACCACACACTGACTATTGTACCTGTTCTTTAGTAGCCTACATTGTGATATGTAGTCCCATTTATTCTTATTTTAGACTAATATAGCTTTTATTAATATTCTGAATTCTTTGAATTACAAAATATACATTTCTGTTTTAATTTAAGTTTTAGTCATTTTGTTGTGTTTTTGTCATTTTTACTTTATTATTATTATTATTATTATTTAATGTCTGTATAGTTTTTATTCATTTTTATTTCAGTTTTAGACTTATCTGGATTTGGTAATCAGAAGAAGTGTGTTCCTGGATCAGGGTCCATTTAATGTCTGTATAGTTTTTATTAATTTTTATTTCAGTTTTAGACTTATCTGGATTTGGTAATCAGAAGAAGTGTGTTCCTGGATCAGGGTCCGATCTAATGTTGCATTGGAAAAACTGGCACAAAAGTAAAACGGATTACCTGATCCAATATAAACTGGGATTTCCAAAGCCAGATCATTCTGATCTGGATTTAACTTATTTAACAAGTGGGCCCTGGTGAGAAGCACGGTGTCCCAAAAACGCCATAATAATGCAGCTTTCTATCTGACTTAGAGATTTGCTTTCGTTTTCTTTTCTTTTTATTTTTTAACACAATATAATAACCAACTTACAGAGCAAAATATAAATGTATCTGGCAAGATTTACAGTTTTCTAATATCGCAGTCCATGTTACATGTCAAATGAAAGCATATTATTAGTGAAGGGGTAGGAACACGGTTCAGTTTTTCACGGTACTTTAATCTTAATGTTGTGTTGTTTGTGCAGGACGTCCAGTATCTGAGGGAGGATGTCCATGTTGAGTAAAGGCTTGTCCATGTCATCGGTTCCTGTGCTCAGTGACCCGATACTGCACCTCATCCTCGCTCTGTGTTTGGGTTTGAGTGATTGAAGAGATTCTGCCTCAAATCCAGTGTGTCTCTCATCAATCCCCAGAATAAACATCAAGCATAGCGTTAGTTCTGGCAGGTCACGTTAGTCAAGCTCGCATCAGCTGACTCTCAGCTGATCCCCATCAACCTATGGGAATACGACACCTATCTAAGTATTCATATATAAGGTCCCACAGTAGTATCAGCAGTTTTCGCATTGCTCAATAGCTAATTACCCTTCTCCATCCCCAACTCCTCCTCAATTCATTTATGTTGGTTCTGTTCTGTTTACCCTGGGGGGGTTATCGCTGCTCTCCCTGCTCTCATCCATGCTAGGCTGCATGGATGCGCAGGGAGTTCTTGCCCAGAACGGAACCATACCGCCAATCCAAACTATGCTAATTGTCAATCATCTTTGACGATAGTGGTCCTGACAGAAGTAGAGTTTCTTGCTAGCTGCAGGCACCACAGCAGCAAACCAATGAGAAAGCAAAGCATTAAGCATAAGATGGCATTAACACTACAGGGGGAAGTCGTGGCCTAATGGTTAGAGAGTCGTACTCACAACCCAAAGGTACCGTACCAGCAGGGATTGTAGGTGGGGGGAGTGAATGTACAGCGCTCTCTCCCACCTTCAATACCACGACTGAGGTGCCCTTGAGCAAGGCACCGAACGAACCAAAAAAATGGCTGCCCACTGCTCCGGGTGTGTGTTCACTGCTGTGTTTGTGCACTTTGGATGGGATAATGCAGAGCACTAATTCCGAGTATGGGTCCCCATACTTGGCCACATGTCACGTCACGTCGCATTATAAACCCACTCAAAGCATTGATCAGAGACACAGGACGCAAAATCAGCATCAGTGAGCTCATCGATGGACCTTTGGGCTACTTCTGCAGGAACATCATGGCTTTATTCCTCTGTAGCCATTGTCTTAAGTACTGGATGCTGCAGTCGCAGTGGAACGGGTTCCCAGATGGTGGAGCTGGTCTAAACGCCCTGGAGTTACGGTGGTCAGGAGGTTATTCTGCAGCAGGAGTTTGGTGAGGGGCAGTTCACCCTCAGACCTTCGGGACCGTAAAGTCTTGCACCTGCAGGACAACTAAGCCTAACCCTAACATGTGCAAAACCGAGCACAAGAGAAGAGTCAACCCTGAATTAATGAGCATTCTGGGTGTGAGAAAACAATTATTATTTATTTTTTTTGTTCAGTAAAATAGGGCAATTTGTGTATTATTATGCTTATAAATTGCACTCTTTGCTTACATAGACGCTAAGTGGGGCATCAGGGGCGTGGCTTTTTACTTTTTATACTTTAATAGGCTACTGCTAAATCCTTGTCTTATGGATATCACCATATAGCTAAACTCCAGGAAAGTGGCCCTTCAGGAGAAGGATCGGACACCCCTGAATTAGGTGATTAAAACTAGCAAAGCCAAATTAAACTCTTTTGATCGAATCGGTCAAACAGGTTTGCGAAAAGGTCTGAAAAAGTTTGTTATTCAGTTTGATACTTTCAGTCGGTTCACTCATGCAATGAGTCCTTTTCACAGTGGATATAGGACAGAAAACAAAAGAGCTGGATGAGGTGGATATTTACCCACAATCCATTGTAGGAAACAAAACTTGCAGACTTCTAAATGTGTCGAGGACAGCTCTTTGTGTGAGCAGCTTATGAATATTTATAACCAACATTATTAAAATAGCACTAAGCTTGTCTCTACAAAGTTATTTCCACTATACTGTATATACACTCTTAAAAATAAAGGTGCTTCACGATGCCATAGAAGAACCTTTTTGTCTAAATGGTTCCATAAAGAACCTTTAACATCTGAAGAATTTCTGTTTCACAAAAGGTTCTTTGTGGTGAAAGAAGGTTCTTCAGATTATAAAAAGGTAAGAAAGAGATGGTTCTTTAAAGAACCTTTGACTACATGGTTCTTTGTGGAACCAAAAAGGGTTCTTCTATGGCATCGCTTGAAGAACCTTTTGAAGCACCTTTATTTTTAAGAGTGTACACAACTGAAAAGACGATAACTACTGTAACTTTAGCGTGATATGCACAAGTTACCAAAAAGGAAAACTATTTACATATGTAAAAATGTATAACCATCCACCTTTTGATATGTCCAATATGTTTCTATTTCAATAGGAAATCCGTCAGCAGTTTGAGGAAAACTCTTCATCATGTCAGTAGCATTTTGGATTCTATCAGAGGGAAGGACAGATTGGTAAAAGTCTTAAAATAACATGTGAAAATTGAAAAAGTCATGGCAACAGGCAGACCTTTAAGCAGAAATGCCTGATTCTACATTATGCAAAAAGTTTGTAGTTACAGTACTTTCTTGTTAAGGATGCCAATACAGGGACCCCAAAATGTGCAACTTCAGCCACACTTAAAATGTCTGCATTCTCTTCAATTCTGTATGGATAATGGATGTAAGACTTACCTTAGAGCATGTGATTGAAAGCAACTGAAGATGTGCAATAATCAGCCTGGCTTTTAGGCTGAGAAGTACATCCACAAGTGTTTTGTCTTGCAAATGCTTGTGTATATGAAAACAGGCATCACTGGCGCTGTAAACCATAAACGGCTGATAATGTTTGGATTGACCAGTGAGAGCTCTAGGAGCATGGAGGCTCATGTGATCATCACAAGAGGACAAGACTATCTGCTAACAGCATGTTTATATCTGGAGTTGAGATGAGTTCAAAAATATCGAAAATGAAATAACTTGCTCTATATGATGAAAGACCAATATTTAGCAGTGCATGCCACCAAAACGAAAGACTCAAATCCAAAACATGCACTCAATCAAAATCAAAGTTAAATGTGATAACAATAGACTACTGAATGCTTTTCTCTGGAAGACTTAAATAAGCTTGGACTGTCTAAAAAAAAAAAAAAAAATAAATAAACACCCAAGAACAACATCAATAACAAATCACAGTTAAAGCCTAGCCGATCACTTTGACGTTTCAATGTAAAAACACTTGTTCGATGAGAATCTATACGCCACTCTGATGAAGTAATAGTAAAGATGCTCCAGCCATGACCACGCCATCATAACAGACATGTTGCACTTAAAAACAAACAAGAACAATCCATAAAATATAGAAAAATAATTCCGTCACTGACCCTCAGAAGTCCAGGGTTTTCCTCCAAAGGAAAAGAAAAATATGAAAATAATAATAAAATCTGAATAATTTATTTAAAAAGTTACTCCAGACATGCAAACATATTTTTAACATCTCTGTAAGATTCATATAATGCTGTACAACTTCACTGTAGTAGAGCAGTTCAAAGTGCCACATAATACTGCATTTGTGCTTTATAATAGATCACAATGGAAGGTTTCTAGTAGCCTACTTCTTTAAATATGACCTCAATTCAAACTGACCAAGATATTGTTCTCAAAAAGTTGTGAATACATGTTTTACAGTATTCTATAACATCGCTTTTTGCTTACAATGGTTTCAGTTACACTACTGTACTACACACGAAACATAGAGGGTGCAATGGTCATTGGCACGTTCATTTATGATTGTTAAGACAAATGTAGAGCTGTCATCTACAACAAATACAGCGTTAGAACATCTACTCTCTCATTCTGCTAGTTTGAATGAACGTGAATACAGGCAAACCTACTATTTTGTTGTATGTTTTTAAAACCTCCACAGGGCAAATCTAACGAAACCCGTCAAGGGGATCAAAAAAACCTGTCAGGAAAAAAAAAATACAAATAAAAAATATTCATATTTTGCATAAAGGCAACAAAATCCATATTTAGGACCATTAAGATTTTTTGCTGATATTAAGCACAATTAAACACACTTCTTAATAAATAATAATAATAATAAAAAATTGCAATTCCTATAAGAACTATATCACTGCAATGTGAAAAAAAATGTATCATTTAAATGTAAAAATATTTGTGCAGCATGGTTGCTGGCTTTAATGTATGCTAATATTAATTGAAAAATGTTTGTTTTATTATGTTTTCCAGGAACAGACTAAAAACTATTTGATGATGATAATAATAATAATAATACTGTTGTTATTATTATTATTAGTATAACTTTAAAATGCATTACAGTAAGACAAAATGTGTCACGAAAACTAAGTTACAATGCAATATTTCTTAATGGTCCTTGGTATTCTTTATGCAAATGATAAATTCTTGTCAGAATTCTAATCTTGTGACATACACCCGTAGGCAGAATGCTATAAGTATGAGAGACATCAAACACAGATGCTGTTTTTGCACATGCGCCGCTCTGTTGGGATTGGCTGGTATGGCTCTGGTATGGTTTTGCTCATCACGTGTCTGTTTAAAGCTCACACCAGCGCGCTCTTCTCTGTTTTGGGGCTGATGGTTATTGCACAGCGCGTGTGAAAGCTGTTTGAAGAGGTACAGGCCGCACTAGTGGGGAGCGGTGATACGGTGGAGGATTCGTGACTGCTGTCGAAAAGTGACCCGAGTTTGGAGTTTGGAGCGCTGTGTCTGTCAGGAAACAGATGCTTCTGGAAGGAAGGTTCTCTCTGATGCAGAGGAAGACTGCTAAAGATGGAGCCCTGTGAGGAGAGGCGTGTTTAAAGCCATTCATCTTACACTTCAAGTCAACAAGTGAAGTAAATACAGACATGTCAATGACTGCACCCTTTTACAGAAGCTTTGCTTTCCTATTTTCATTTTCTCCTTAGGTTTTTAAAAAATCATTGATGAAAAGTTGTCTTTTATATCAGTCACTTAAATGCTGTTTTAGCAGCTCTAAATCTGGTCAAGAGTTGGGATCAACCTTTAAAGCCTGAACAGAATCATGCCAATTTATTGAGACGGTCTTCGCTGCAGGCTGTAGTCATAGTAATCTGAACATGCATGCTTTTGTTTCATTTTGACAGGAAACTGGTAGTAAATTGGAGACTGTCCTTCAGAGTGTTGGTATTACATTATTGCACTGTACTTTCATTATTGCAACTGTACTGTTGGAGTTGTGTGACAAAAGTGTTATGAGACACTTTTCCTTTAGACAATTTGAGACAACTTTGAGACAATTTTCCTTTATTTTTTAAATTTACACACAGCATCTATAAAATGCATCATTCCTGTGAGAGGTCAAAAAAATGTTGTGCGCAGTTGCATATCCCTTTAGCGTGTTTACAAAAGGCATGAACAATCCTGTATATAAAATACATGCGCTCTGTTTTTTTCTATGGTTCTGTTTTAATGAATGAAAAAACACTCCAGACAATTCTGTGAAAGCATGAAATATAATGCAATGCAAACCAGACTGAAATCCACATTTGACTCAGTCTTCAAAGGTCCAATCAGCATGGTCCGATGAGACTTGCAGGGACACCAGGCATTTGATTAAAGAAGAGCAACTTGGGTAAAAATGTTTCCAAAAAAAAAAAAGTTTCACTCAGTGTCTGTATGTGTGAGGTTCATCAACCATCTAACAGACACAAGTGAAAGCCCCTTTAAAAAAAGAACTAAAATAACAGACTTGCGTGAACATAAAGAAGCCATCATCAGACTGTTTGCAAAAAAACATGCATGCTTAAAAATAAGCACCAGGTCTTTCTGAGCACCTGTACTTACAGACAAGCACCAGTTTCAGTAGGCGAACAGTTCATGCATGCATGTGAGCAGGCGGGCAGGTTAGGCATCAATAAATATGTTACAATAAAGAAAACAATGGACCATTTTAACCCATGAAGCACAGAAGGTGCAAAGAAATGTGCATTACACATTATCAAATCAAATAATTCCCTCCCACTGCCTACTTACTCCTAATTTGCTGTCTAGAGATCCTGCACTGGTACAGCGCTCATGCTTGCCTGACCGAGACATGCAGTAGCATAGATTAGAGGTGTACATCACACCTGTAACACAGCACGCTGAGTCTTTCTGAACTTTCTGGGTCATTATCCACAGTAACTGACTGCCAGTTTGCTGTGTATACTCCATCTGTGCATACTGCTGCCTTTCATGAGCCATTTTAGCAAATACACACAAGCCAAGACACATGATGCCCACAAATACTTAAGACTGAAAGAGCAGTTTCAATGCAATATGAACACAGCACACTGAAGTAGAGTTTTTGTGCTTTTGCTGTAATGCAAACTGACCTGAAAAAATTACATGCAATTTTTTTTTTTTTGGAGGATGGGATCAGAAAAGGTCGGCAAAACAGGACTCAAACTTGGGACGCCCAAAGTGCAATGGTGTTATATGTTGGCACACAGCCCACAAGGCTATCGGTACTGACAGCTCCTCTGCATTTCAGTTTTCTTTCTGTTTGCCTGTTTCCCATTTAGTTTCCTTGTTTGGTAATTAGTTCCTTCTGACCTGCTGTTTTACCTTGATTATGTTCCTGTTTTATAAGCCCTGTTTCCTCAGTTCCTTTGTCTGTTCTCGTCTATATTTTGTGTGGTTGTGTTTCCCAGTGATTCTCCAGAGTGCTCCGGGTTGGATTTACGATTGAAGTCATTTTTTTGTAATTTCTTGTGTTCATGCACTTCTTCACAAGAGAAGAATTGACTCAATGAGTGTTGACTCATTGACTTGCAGTGTTTTTTTCCCCTTTTGATTATGGAGTTGCCAGCCGTCCAGTTACTGGTGTGCCTGACTCACTTCCTGGACTGCTTGCTGTGTGTCTTTTTCTCCATGACTTAGTGAGTGGTCCAAGGCCCGTCTTCCGGTGGATGGGCCAAGGGAAGATTTCGCCATGTTTGTGGAGTGGGTGCTGGTGAACAATGGATTGGCCTTTACCAACAGTCCCACTCTCGATCCAGAGCTGAGCCATCTGAAGCCCACTGCAGACGGAGATCCCAAACCTGCTGCTATACACAAGTGAACCATGCGACTGGAGCTGCCATCTCCCCAGACCCTGAGCCTCATGAAACGTCTGACCAGGTGTATGAGCCGGCAACATCGTCCGTCATCATGGGAGTCCTTGTGGAATTCGAGGGTATGGAAAGAAGCTCCACCCACACTCTCGTCACTGAAGGTGAGCTGGCGCTGGCCTCTGAGCTATTTTTTTTTTATGTTTTGGAAGAAGATGATACCCTGTTTCTCCTGACCCCGCTGGTTCCACTCAGCTCAGAATCTCCTGTGTCTCCACTGGTCCTGCCCAGCTCAGAGTCTTTGTTGTCGCTGGCCCCACCCTGCCTCCCACTCCTTCCTCCTCTGCCTAAGCTTCCCAATTCTTTGGCTCTGTCTCCACTGGCTTCACTCAGCCCTTCAGCTCCTCATTTGCTGACCTGGATCGACCTTAGGCTTCCTGTCAGCCAGCCCCACCTTGGAGTGTTGACCCTCTGGCTTCCCCTCAGTCCTCTGACATTTCAGCTACTACTTGGCTTCACGCTCCCACAGCTCCACCGGGGTCCATCAGTACTCAGACTCCATTAGGCTCCCTCGTCCCTCCGGTTCCAGCTTGGTCAGTCATCGACCTGCCTATACCACGGTCTTCCAGTCTTCTGGCTACACCTTGTCCTTCAATCCCTATGCTGGGCTCCTCCTTCCCTCCGGATCCACCTTGGTCCTCAGTCCCACCGAATCCATACCAGCCTGCCGGGCCCCCGTTTCCTCGGTCCCACAAGCCTGTGGATTCGTCTTGGCCCCCCCATGCCTCCGGTGTCACCCCAGGTCTCCATCTCTTCGTCTGTGCTTAGGTCTCCACTTCAATTGGCTCCGTCTCCATCGTTCATCCCCATGGTGTCGAGGGCATCTCCACCATGGCAAGAGTCCTGGAGCCCCACATGAGAGTTAAGGAATCCCCAACAAGAAGAACCACAAGAGTTCACAGATAAAGCCTGCAAATCTTCAATCCTTTTGAGAGATGTCAGGGCCACTAACAAAACTCCTCCTGACTCGAATGGCTCAAACGGAGAAGGCATCAAACCTTCGAAGACTAAAGAGAATTCCCAAGATGGAAAAAAGAAGGCTGGAAATGCCTTAGATGTCTAAGCTTGAAACAGGAGACAAGTGAGTGTCTCCCCAAAGAAACACCATTAACAGGGACATACTGAGCAGCAATACCCTCTACACACTTCTTGTACAAATGTAGTTGAGGCCGCACCTGCAGAAAAACACTTCCCAAGGAGCGTCACCACTGAACCAAAAGGGAAAGGCTGAAATGGATCTACCTGGACTCTTCCCGCACTCTCATCAAAACTGCTGGGAGCAGGTGTATTAGCGGGAAAGAATACAGAGTGCCAGAACAATGGAGGAGACAGAGAAAACCAAAGGGGGCAATGGGATGTTCTGCTGAAAGCCATTTTAAACCTCAGCTAAATAAGACTGTCAGTCTGAGGGTGCAACCTCCATTCTCCAACATCCTGAAACGCCACATCCTGAGCATGAAGTTCATTGTACGCAAGTCCTGGATCGTCTGCAAACTCTTGTCCTTTGTGGAACAAGTCCTGATTTGCAGTCTACCAATAACAACTGAGTGACACTAGGAAAACCCATGAGCTGCGAATGCAGTTTTACATTAAATTATTTACAATGGAAATTAATTAGGTCAATCCAAAGATGTTAAAACACTTGTGTAGCCACAAGAAGAAAACAATATGTTTAACAAGATTTTGGTTTTAAATCACTAACTACCTGCTTATTGGACAATTTAGCGATGTATAAACCCTATTGTCACAAAGCAAGGCCAGACACAACAGGTAAGTGCAAATCAGGATGGTTTATTGACTGGGTAAGGGGATGACTGGAATAGGTGAGTTAAAGGCAGGTGAGTGTCAACACAGTGAATGGTTCCAGGGTGCTTATCTGAGTTCTGATGGTGAGGATCGGATGCCGGTTACGTTGGAGATCGTGGAACAGTTTCCAAGGAGTCGTTGGAGGATCGCGGGAGGAACAGCAGGTAATTCGTTCTAGGAGAATTTGGCAGAGAGAGTCCAGAGCAGTTCGTAGGAGTGAACGGTAGACCGGACAGTGAGTGACTGTGCTGTGTGTGTATTTGTAGTGTGGCTTGATTGGTGACAGCAGGTGCGGGTGATCAGAACTCAGGTGACTGTGATCGGGTAATTATTCTGGATGGTGACTGAAGTGACTGTGATGAATCCCTGACACCTATACACCTTAAACCCTAAAATTACTTTTGCTTTTAGAACCTCCTAAGTCTGAGCAGATTTATTTTAATCAATATTATGCCACAAATGCTGTTCAACTGAACTGAACCCAGAATATTCTTTTAATAACACATCATTTGAGCAGGACACCATTCTAACACTTCCATGATTAAATGTTACTTGTGAAAAACGATTCAGAATATAAACACTGGACCTATTCACACCACGGATGAACATTTGTGTGCTATCCTTTTTTTTCTTCGTTCTGTGAATACAAACTGCAAACACTGTAGGACCCATACTGCAGGCGTCTAATGCTACCAGTGAAAAATAATTTGTAATATATTTATATGTGGAAAGATTAGGTTTAAGAAACTTTAAGAAATGTTTAAACTTGAGGAATATCATTCTACATAGGGAATCAAACAAACAAAACATAATGTACTTTCTGGTTTTGCTGACCAGAAAGGCAAATCTGTTCATCAGTACATCAGATCCACTGAACTCACCTGCTTCAGAAAGGTCACGCAGGGAGCTACTGAGCGCGCTCCGCTTTAGCCCCTCCCCCATGGCATACGTGTCATCCAGACTAGTGCGGCCCATGGTGCCGTTTCCGCTCTCTTTCTTTAGGCCCGACATACTGGGTCTGACCACTCCTTTCTGTTTCTCCAGCTCAGCTACAAACATTTAAACACACATACAGTCAAACGTATAGCAAACATTTCCAAAATAACATTGTACGTTGACAACATGCAAGAGTAATACAGCATACTTCTCTATATTAAAGGGGCCATATGATGTTGCTAAAAATAACATTATTTTGTGTATTTGGTGTAATGAAATGTGTTTATGCGGTTTAAGGTTAAAAAAACACATTATTTTCCACATACTGTACATTATTGTTTCTCTTCTATGCCCCGTCTTTCTGAAATGCGTCGATTTTTACAAAGCTCATCGTCTGAAAAGCGAGGTGTGCTCTGATTGGCCAGCTATCCAGTGTGTTGTGATTGGCCGAATACCTCAAGTGAGAGAAAGGAAAACTTGAAATCATATCATATGACCCCTTTAAAGCTAATGTCAGTTTAATGTGCTTTATTTCCCATAACATACTAAAACATATTTAGCATATAATCAGATGGCCCTGGAGAGAGAGAGAGAAATAATAAGTCAAATGAGAAAAATGGTAACTCAAATGAGAAATTAAACATAGGGGGAAAAAATTTCGAAGAATGTTGTTAGATGTAAAAATGCCACAAATTCTGATCTGACATTCATATAGGAGTCACAATGCAAGAAATCAGACGCATATCTGATTTATTTTCACACTAGAAAGTGGCCCGGATCGGAATTGAAAATAGATTTTGAATGTTTATATGGTCATCCAAAAAAAAGCTGATTTGCGCCACACTGGGATTCTGATTTGGGAACGTAGCCTCTGAGTCTGACCCTTCCAATCAAACATGTAAATGAGCATTATAATATGATTGGATGAGCTTGTCGCATGTGAAATGAGTAACCGCATTCCTGCAAAGCTGAATATGCATCAATATGTAAATATGGACAATCATATGTTAATGAGTCCATGACTGTGAATTCACAGATTTCATGAAGTTCATGAAGATTTCAGATTTTTGCAGTATATAAAAGAGGTTTTCCTCTCTTTAATCCTAAAAACTGTGATTCTGCATCTGTTACTTCTACTGATGCTCAGCAATGTCTGAAAACTACATTAACATGGGCAGCTCAAAGAAACCTGGTTTGGTAGCGGTGAGGATGAGGAAGAATAAAGGTCTGTTTACACTCTATCCGGTACTTTTCCATTTCCTGGACCTCAGAGATGGACTCGCGCAGATCGCTGGTGAATTTCTTGCGGTCCTGAGAGTTGGGAGCATTGAAATTGATCAGGACTTTGAAGTCTGCACCAGGAATGGCTGAAGTCAGCCGGATACCATTTGGATAGACTGAGAAAATACGAAAAATGAGAAAGCAACTTTTCAACTTTACGGCATAAAAGCAATATGAAGGGAAATAAATTAACTATGTATTTATTTGGATTCTTTAGGCTAATTCACACCACATTGACGGCACTCCGTCAGGTTTTGTCTGATCAGTGTGTCTGTTGGCGTCTGTCGGATCTTGTTTTCACCGGTTGAACATGCTGAAGCAGCTCTTGAATGTCTGAGAATCGACGCACTGTAATCTGGTGATTGTCAGTGCAGTGTGAATTGGCCTTTAGGTTACATGTAGCAATTACAAAGGACTAAGAGTGCCATGAAATGAAGGAATAATTTCTTCAATCAAATCAAAAATGTCAATAAATCACTGAATGAAACTACATAAATGTATCACTTGCAGCAACTTTAAGTATATATACTTATTGTCTATCTATCTGAGAAATTATTTGTTAATTTACATTACAATGGTTGAAGTAATAAAAATGATTATTGATTCCTTTTTTTTTTTATGCCACTTTTTAATAGCTCTTCCATTCAGAAAGATTGGCTGTGTTCGTATTTCTTACACTGGTTCTCAAAGAGCATCACTTGCATCCCGTACAGAGAGAAAGATTGCCTGAAACTATACGTCACTGAGTTTTTCTTCTTCTGGAAGATCTTGGTAACCTGTCACAAAGTTGCAGAGATCACAGTGATCAGCATCAGCACATGTGTAGATATTTGAGTGTTTAGCTTTAATAGATGTGGTAACGTGCTAATATCATTTGTTATGTGTATCTTATTGATCTCTCACCACCAGCAGGTCATTAAACAGGAAGATCTCCCGCTGGTGCTGCCCCAGTTTCTGCAGTCTGTTGGGATCTGGGACCTCGAACAGTCTGCAGTAGCACACCAGCCTGCGATGGGCCTGAGACAGCACCTGTAACACACACACACGTTTGCTTCTCTATCACGGTGGGGACTTTCCACTGACGCTGAGCTATGATATTTTCTCTCTTCTATTGTTTTTATATAGACCTAGTTATAAAACTATAACCTAACACACCCTTACACTTTATTTACTTTTTAAAAATATTGTTTTCACAAATGAGGATGTCCCCAAAAAGAGGAAGCTTTGTCAGATTTAGCTCGCCTATTAGGACAAATTTAAATGGATAGTTCACCCAAAAATGAAAATTCTGTCATCATTTACTCACACAGAAACATGTGTGAGTTTCTTTTTTCTGCTGATTACACACACACAAAAAGATATTTTGAAAAATACTGGTAAGCAAACACTTGACGGTAGCCATTGGCTTCTATAGGATGGGGGGGAAATGCTATGGACGTCAATGGCTACAAGCAACTGTTTGGTTACCAACATTATTCTAAACAAAGTCCCTTTAAGACAAGTCATGTCACTCGGCGGCCATCTTTGAAACGCCTCTCGGGCATGCAAGTGCAGCTCCTATCTCTTTGAATGGGGAAACATACAATTCTCCAAAATTGTTCACTAAGCTTAAGATTAAATTTCATATTTGAAATCACCAATGAAATCTGACAACTGTCTCATAAATGCTGTTTCTTTTGCTCAAATAGCGTTATAAAGAGCTTAGTTTTCAGGCTAGATCAGCCAGTGCGCATGCGCAGTCCTAAGCACACGTCTCAGAGCGCTGACTGTTTCTGTAGCAACCGGGACTTCTAACGGCAGCTGCAGTGATGCACTGACTTTACCGATTAGCGATTGGCTCTTTCATTCAGAAGGCGGGGCTTCGTTCGATAGAGTGGCTATACTGAGCGTTGCATTTGTCCCCATTCAAAACTATACGAGTGACACGTCTCGGGTATTCTATAGTCTTTATTCTAAATATCTTCTGTTGTAACAACTTTTCTAACAATTTGAGGGTGAGTAAATGACAACAGAATTTTTTTTTTTGGATGAACTATCCCTTTAACTACTGTAGACACACACACACACACACACACACACACACACACACACTCAGACACAAGCATTTCACTCAGCTTTTAACTCTTGGAAGTGACTTTTTTGTGAATGTCAGATTATATTTGGTTCTGTTACCAAATCTATACCTACTGTATCAGTATTTAAATACTGTATGTTCTACATCCAGCGCAAAATATGCAGTGTGACTTTAGGCTCAGATAAGAAAATGATAGATGCAAAGTGCCTGTAGTAGTGAAGTAAAGGAGTAATGATGCTGTATATATGCATCATGAAGTATACTTACACATCCAAGGCCATGGTGAAGTGATCCCATCTGTAATGTAAGAGGAAAAGTCAAGATTCAAATGTGTCGTATCTGAATTGTTGAAGAATGATCAGACCTCTTATACTACAACTGATAGACTCATTATCCTCAGTAATTACATGGATAGTGTTTAATCTCTGAAATTCTGCCTGGGGATTAAAAACAAAAGTCTGGATCTTCATAGAGCAGTAGTATGTTGAACCTACTTGCTTCTTGCCCACAATGAGTTTCTCCACCTTCTGCACCTGAGTCACGTGGTCATCATTGGTTTTGAGCTCCTTCTTCTGGATCCGCTCGTAAATCCCAACCAGCATCTCCCGAGGGATGTCCTCGCCATCATCAACCCCTTCCAACACATACACAAGACTGCCATTACAGCTGAGGTATACAATAAACACTACACATGTATCTGTTTTGTTTCCCTATCTATCCAGTGTTCAGTTGAGCTGTGAATGTCAGCTCATTTATTAGCATGAAAACAACAGTGTGTCTCAATCGAAACCTCGCAGATTCTTGACAAAGTCCTCAAGTTTCATCTTTCGTTCCAGCTTGACGTTGGGGCTGTACATGTCTGTGTTGAGGAGGATGATGGCGAAAGCCAAGATGAAGATGGTGTCAGGGTTTCTGAACTGACGGACCACATCAGGGTTACAGATGCAGTAGCGCTGGCTGAACAAAGACACACCACAGATCACTGTAACTCTGATCAATCATGTTAGCAAACATTACAATATGAAGCAATGAAAATGATCTAGTGCTGCTTGTTTATCTTTCTACCTTGTGTAATTGTCATTTCTAAGTTATTACACTTCATAATGATTTAAAAAATAAACATCTGCAGTTCTACTGAATGAATGATTGTTCAGTGTATGTCTGTACGCTAGATGTATGTTCTGTGATGTGATAACACACCTGAAAGCCTCGATCAGGCGCTCCACCTTCTGTGCCTCGCCCTGAACCCGGATTTGAGCCTGGAATTTCCTCAAAGCTTCATCCAGCTCCATCACTGAGAAATCCAGCTCATCCACCACACAGCTGCAACAGACACACGACATGTCAACACATGCCTGCTGCATATGACAACTGCTAATGTGCATGAACAGGGTACAAGAAAAAGTGTCTTTGTTCAATGCATTATCAGTGAAAAACAAAATTGAATAATATGACTGGGAGCAAAAGAGTTGCAAGTAGCTAGGTGACAAATGTTACTTTGTTTACTTAGTTACAGGGTTGAATGGTTGATCTTGACGAACACAGTCAGCAACACGGTTTGTGTAACAATGGACAAAATGCAATGATATTATTTACTTGTCTTACCAGAAGGGGTCCAAATGATGTCACTTTGTTCAAATTAGATATCTGATGTGTTTAAATCTAGCTACTGTATGATAGGTTAATATTTATGTGAGCTAGTTTTGGGATTTATGGGACTTGCATGGGATTTACGTCTGTAATTTGTACCTGTGTGTATTTTATTTGTGGAAAGTGGCAATTATAAACTATGAAAACGTAGACGTATGAATTAAAAAAAAAAAAGAAAAATGTGAATACATACTCTAAAACATCCCTGTTGAACTGCTTCTGTCTGTTCCCGAGGAATTCCCCAATCATTTGTCTACTCAAGCCTTTCCTCTGCAGCAGGAAGTGGGCCACACCTACAGGTGTGTCAGGAATAAAGCCCCTCTCCGTCAGGTACTGGATGCCCTTCTCTGGCTTTCTGAAAGTACATCAGCAGGTGAGGCTAAACTCTCATCCTACTGAACACTCAAAATCATACCACATCATAGTCGGTTTAAGGCATGCAAAAGGAAACATGAATGCAATGCAAAACATTATTTGAAAAAAAAAAAGTCCTAAGAGTTATAAGACATCTTTGTGTGTTAACCACAGACAGTCCCTCTGAAAAAAGCTAAACACCATACACACACAGTTTTGATTTGTATGATGTACTCTCACTCCAGTGTGGAATACAAGAACTTCTCTTTTTTATATTTACATTTGACACACACTTTCATTACTGTGCATGTCTGGAAATTAGAGAGTGAGCAGGATTATATGTTAGAGAAAACATCAAATAATGGTTCTGAATAATAATAATGATTACTTGTTTCCATTTTGTTATCTGTTTTTGTTCAGCTTTCTCAGTGCAATCTGTGTTTCCTTGAGTGACTAGCCTGAATGGTGAACTTAAAGGGGTCATATGATGTTGCTAAAAAGAACATTATGTTGTGTATTTGGTGTAATGAAATGTGTTTATGCGGTTTAAGGTTCAAAAAACACATTATTTTCCACATACTGTACATTATTGTTTCTCCTCTATGCCCCGCCTTTCTGAAACGCGTCGATTTTTACAAAGCTCATCGGTCTGAAAAGCGAGGTGTGCTGTGATTGGCCAGCTATCCAGTGTGTTGTGATTGGCCGAATACCTCAAGCGTGTGACGGAAATGTTACATCAGAGTGAGCAGAGGCGGTGTGCTAGAGTGAGCTGAGGCGGTGGGCTAGAGTGAGCTGAGGCGGTGGGCTAGAGTGAGCAGAGGCGGTGGGCTTGCGGCAACCACATGTGACGACCCCGGGCTGGACTCTGCTTCGTACACGGTGAAAGCCAATCCGGCGATCCACAGCACGAAGTTGAAGTATTCCCTCAGCGACCAGCACGGATCAGCTCCAGGCATGACGAAGCAGATATCGTCCTCTTTTGGAAGACCAAACAAAGTAGTTTCGCTTTCACAACGAAACACACAGTGCATTCACGACATGGCGGCGGCAACAACAATACCACAGCGAGAATAAAAGTTACGCCTTCTTTCTTTGCGTGAATATTTGGGCGGTGTTATGCAAATCTTCCCACATCGTGAGGTAGACATGTGGGGGCGTGTTAGAACGAGCCGTTTTAGGGGGGCGTGGCTGACTCTTAACTTTTATAAAGAATATCTCTTTGGATTTGAGACTTTAGTCTTTGCAACTTTACAGATCTTCTTTATGCACCATATTAAAATATTAATATTTTAATAACTTGTAACACTCCAAAGAGAAAGGAAAAATTTAAATCACATCATATGACCCCTTTAATATTTGAGTTATTTGATAAATTGAACTGCAAAAGCTTTAAAATGGAACATAATGTTTATCTGTAATTAAATAATTTTTATATTTTCTTTTTATTTATTGTTTTTCAAACAATTTGCATCCCCTTATGATTTTATTGGCTTACAAAGATTAAAACTACATTTGCTTTTACTGACATTGAAATATCATGCTTTCACTGTTTAGTTTAGTCTAAAATGCCTTTTCGTGGCAGATTATGTTTCTACAGTTTCTGTTATGCTGTGGCATTTCATAGTTATATAAAAATGCACATAAATAACATGATGTTTTAGGATAAATGACTGTTGGTTTGCTAGGCTGTAATTGCATATTCTGAACTGAAAGTAATAGTTAAAGATCCTGCAGTCACTGGCCTGCTACTGTGAAAATGTGATTTCTTGAAAGTTCAAAGTTTTGTGAAAATTATATAATTCCCTCTACAGTCCCACTAATTCTAAATTACGATAAAATTGGTGATAAAATTAGTGGAAATACACCTAAAAAAACAAATGAAATAATAATAAAAAAGATAAGGCTGAAGGAAAATATAAAAATAAAATATAAAAATATAATATTTATGTGTAATGACTGAAATACATACTTATTGAAGAGGTTGAGGCCAATGCGGTATTGTCTCTTGCGCATGATATCGCTGCTGAAGGCCGGAGAGTCCCAGCTGTTGCGAGTGTCTTTGTGGTAGGTCTGTTTGCTGAGACTCTCGTCTCTAGATGGCAATTCTGAGTTTATCGTGTCAATGGAGTTTGAATTGCTGTTGATGCTGTCATTGTCTCCGTCTGAGAAGTCTGACTCGGACTTGCTCTGCCGGCTGCCGTTGGTGGCCAGGTGGCTCTCCAGCTGCCGGTGTCGAAGCGGCTCTTCGTCTCCAGAGAGCGAGGGGACTCTAGGAGGTAGTCCATGTGCGACTGGTTTGGGACTTGCCCGGGGGCCTGCTACAGTCTGTTCGTGAATATTTAGTGGCTGGAGCAAACCATGCTCAGAGCGACCGCTTACATCTGCGCAGCTGTCGCTGGGAGGCTCGATGGTCAGCAGGGGTAACTCTGGCCCCTGGCATTCGAGGGAAGGAGTGTCCGTGTCCACCTTGTCCTCCTTGGCGTCCATGGACCAACCGATAGCCTGCATGCGCTGCTCAGATGCGGAGCTGGAAGGCTGAACCAGTGGAGAGAGCTCCTCTTCATCGATGAAGAGCGTCACGTCACAGATCTCATCCAGCTTGTGCTGCTCATGGGGCTCATCATCCGGCTGCATGCCCTCTTCACAAAGCGCTTGCTCAGGATGCATCTCCTCTTTGTGCAGACTACGACAGTTCAATGCGTCATCGATCGACTCGGCCAACGACTTCACTTGCCTTGAGAAAGTGTCCTCTAGCTCTGTGATTGTGTCTGTCAAGTCGTTTTGAGTTTCTGGGGCTTCCAAAATGACTGGAACCATCTCTCCGGCCTGCACCATACTGCCTCCTACTTGGCTGACGTCGTCCAGGAGAGACATTCGCCTCCCCTCCAAAACAGAGCCGTGGGCTTTCTCAGGCCCCTCAAAGGAAAGCTGCATCCTCATGTTGGACAGAAGGATCCTGCGGGTCATGCGGTTCTCCGACATCAAGCTCCTGAGGCGCTCAAAGTTCTTGTTCATCTGGTATTGGCGGAAAGCTGTCTGGATGGTGCGCGCTGCATGGCGGGTTATGAAGCGGCCTCCGTATTTCCGCTCAAGCATTTCCACCTTAGAAAACCAAGAAACATATGTGACCCTGGAGCACAAAAGCAGTCTTAAGTCGCTGGGAGATATTTGTAGCAATAGCCAACAATACATTGTATGGGTCAAAATGATCGATTTTTTTTTTATGCCAAAAATCATCAGGATATTAAGTAAAGATCATGTTCCATGAAGATATTTAGTAAATTTCCTACTGTAAATATATCAAAACTTAATTTTTTATTAGTAATATGCATTGCTAAGAGCTTAATTTGGACAACTTTAAAGATGATTTTCTCAATATTTAGATTTTTTTGCACCCTCAGATTGCAGATTTTCAAATAGTTGTATCTCAGCCAAATATTATCCTATCCTAACAAACCATACATCAATGGAAAGCTTATTTATTCAGATGTATAAATCTCAATTTCAAAGAATTGGCCCTTATGACTGGTTTTGTGCTCTAGGGTCACATATGATTAAGACGGTATCATAACAAACCAGTTAGGATTAATTAGAAGTTACAACACAAATTGTATAAACAATATAAACTTCATTTTAATAGTCCACTTTAGACATTCTACTAACTATAGTGTAAGAAATTTTGGTAACACTTTAGCTTAGGAACCGATTCTCACTATTAACTAGTTGCTTATTATTAGCATGCATATTACTAGCATATTGGCTGTTTATTAGTACTTATAAAGCACACATTAATGCCTTATTCTGCACGACCATATTCTAGATCCCTTAATCCTACACATACCTAAACTTAACAATTACCCAATTAACTATTAATAAGCAGCAAATTAGGAGTTTATTGAGGCAAATGTCAAGGTTAATAGTTAGTTAATAGCAAGAATTGGTCCCCAAACTAAAGTGTGACCATAATTTGGCAAATATGTCAACTAACTATCATTAATTTTCAACTTCATGTCAACTAACTCTCATTAGAGTATTAGTAGACTGTTAGTTTAGGGTTAGTATTAGTAGAATAAGTTTATATGTACTTGCAAAGTTACTTACAGTCAGTAGAATGTGTGTTGTGAATCATCAAAATATTTTTTGCAGATATTAAGCAGACAGTCTTCTAATACTGTAATGACTGCTAGTTGGCATGTAGATGCAAAGTTACTTTTTATCAACAACATTGTGTTTGTGTGTGTGATTCAAATAGTGGACTATCAAAATAAAGTGTGACCCAATTTTTGAAACACACACACAATGTTGTTGTGTTGTTGATAATCATGATTGTGCAAACTGTGCAATGCAGCATAGGCTGGTTCAAAGCTCTGGTCCACTATTAATTTGACACTGTACCTTCTTGTCCTGCAGGTCTGTGGAGAGCTCATAGCTCTCAGAGAGGGAGCGCGAGCGCTTGATGGCCTCCTCCTCTGCCTGCTTGCGGAGGATGGACTGAGAGTGCTGTAGTTTGGGCCGCTGCGGGCGCTGAGGGCCTGGCTGGACGCTGTGGCCGTACACTGGGCTTTCAAACTGCTCCGGACTCAAGGAAGAACTGTGTGTGACAGGGCCTCGGTCATATCCTGTGCTGGTGTCCAGGGAAGGGCCGGGCTCGCTGTTTTGAACACCCCCCTCCACACTAGTCAAGACAAGAAGGCAAATTAATGAATGTAAAAATACACATTTACAACCTTTACATGGTTCAATGGGTCACATTCACTAACAACACACTCAGAATCATGATGGAACAGTCAGTGGAGCGCCAGTGAAGTTTCTTGTTGGAACAATCTGTGGCATAATGTAACAATTCCGTCAACATTAGCAGGTGAAGTTACATAAATCATGCTGTTTAAGATCACTGCAAAGCAAAGATATACAATTTTCCTCCTCTTCCTTTGCAGAATTAGATGCAGTGTTCTGACTATTTGTAAGCCACTACAGAAATGTTCACAGCATTGGCATGCTATAAAGCATCACCTTTGGTTGTGCTCATATTCAACACTTGTGAGAACTACTCCAAGTGCTGCTGTCAGTATATTTTGGCAGTCAGGTGAGACTTAAGTAAACAGGTGGCACACTGCATACGTGTCAAAAGATTGGATCTATGCGAATGCAGCCTTCATTGTTCAATTTAAAAAGATAACAGTGTATAAAGAAACAATTAGGGGTGGACGCACTCCATGTGCTTCTGCACTTGATTCTAAGTTTCAAACTAAATTTAGAACAAATTTAATTGTAAACTTATTAATAATCACGACTTTGCCTTAAAGCTATTATACACACAGTTTTTAGGCACAAATAAACAAAAAACATGCATGTTTCATTAAACGCTGTTAATATTTGAACAACTCGTAAGCAAGCAAAAAATATTAAATAGCCAAGATATATTAGTGGTGCTTGCTAGGGAAAGAGATATTTCAAAGAGACATTATGACCTGGTGGGGTCCATCTGGATTTGGTCTAGTAAGCAACCACATTATTACCTGCCAGAAACCCCTAGCAACCAAAAAGAGACTCCCTAGCAACAGTTTTTTTGGTAGAAAATGTATAAAAAAATTCTAACCAAAATCCAACCATTTAGGGGCAAAAGCAAGAAAATATAAACAGAACAAACAACTTCTGAGAGCAGACTTGATTAAAAATCTTCACGTGTGATAGCTGAAACTTAAAGGAAAAAGCAGTGGCATGACACATTACAACTAATAATTATGTCAGCTGTTTAAAGGCCTAATCAGAATGAATTCAATCAAATTCTCGCAAATAAACTCAAGTGATCAAGTTAAGAGAGTTGTCTGATGGTCTGTACATCTATCTAGCACATGCTTAGCACACAAACTCAGTAAGTGAGCCATCCCTGTTGAAAAAAAACAGCATATGCTGGTTAGGTATGTTTTGACGCTGGGATGGTGGTTTAAGCTGGTCCTTTGCTGGTTTATGCTGATCATGTGCTGGCAAAGGACCAGCTTAAACCAGCAAAAGGACCAGCATAAACCAGCAAAGGACCAGCTTAAACCAGCAAAAGGACCAGCATAAACCAGCAAAGGACCAGCTTAAACCAGCAAAAGGACCAGCATAAACCAGCAAAGGACCAGCATAAACCAGCAAAGGACCAGCTTAAACCAGCATCCCAGCGTCAAAACATACCTAACCAGCATATGCTGTTTTTTTCAACAGGGATGTGTCTGTGGATAAGTTGTTATAGTCTTCAGTCAGAGTATATATTTTCCATATTTAGGTACATGAACATTACTCACTAACTCTTACTCTTTGCAGAATTTCGACGTGAATGTTGTCCAAAGAAAGATCTCCTGCCAAAGAAGTTCAGCTTCTTCTGCTTATCTGCCATTGTAAGCCACAAGTTCAAAGGGCAGCTCAGTTTCCTGCAGAGAGCCAAAGTCTGCTCTGATGAAACCAATCATTTACACACAGCACATCACGCTCGGCGTAGAGTCACGAACTCGCCTGCATGCACAGGATTTTACTCAAATAATGCAGAAAAGAAACTTCCTTCAACAACTTCCTCCTCCTAGTTTGAGGTTGTCATGCCTCTAGTCACATGCATCACTGTACAAACAACTGTAAACTAGACCTCACAATGCAGCGGGAGCGGCTGAAGGCAAATGTCAACTAAGCACACCTTAGCAAGTGAAATACAACTATTAGGCTGTTCTAACTAATCAAAAGACACACTAGCAATGCTTCATCCTTAAATATAATATACTTTCAGTCTTTTAAGTTAGGAAAATTAAATATATAATAATAACGAATATATTATTCTGTTGATCAGGTTTTTTTAGAATGATATCAAATGTAATGCTAGAAGGCTAGTCATAGCTTTAGTAAGTAGTAGTAAAAATAGCATTGGTATTGAAATATCAGTGCTTGCAATCGACTTTTCAACCTTATATACAATACAGTACAGAACTGTTTATGACTCATTGTGATGCATTAAAAGGGACTAGAGGTGAAAGATGAGTGCCGTGTCCACACATTCACACAGAGTACATGCAGTCATAGAGATGTGCTGTAGACACAGTGAAATTCACACTTCTTGTATAATATCTCTCGAGCCGAATCTCATGCACCATCTGTCCTGGCAAACACTGACACGTTCCTCTCTCTCGCGGGTGGCCAGCCTGCCAGTGCTCAAACACAAACGCCAGCACACCGTTTAGAAACCATGCTGCTCGTGTAAAATCAGGCTGAGGTGGGGAAGAATTTCAGTGTGCATTTACTGCTAAACTGCAACATATATAGGATTTAACATTTTTAACATGTAAAGTATAATTATGCAGCATCCAAAATTTAGTTGATAACTTAGCTTATCTTAAAGTATGGCCACAGTCCCTGTCATTCACTGACCAACTTTTGTCACTTGTGTCAACAGTTGCAAAGCAGAGCTGAAGTTTGCACAAATGATCAGCGACATGGCGGTGGCCAATAGGAGTTCACATAGAGGTCCGTGTGACACAGATGAGTGTCTACTAGCAACCGACAGCACGAGCTCTCTGTGATCCCCAGTGATTGAACTGCTGTCAGTGTGACTGCAGCATGAATTAATTCAGTCCTCACATACAGTGAGACAGACAGAGAGGCAGATCCAACGAATTGACGGAATTACAATGTACTGCAACAACTTCAAGGATGTTATGCATTCCTATCCTCTATCCTTATACGAGCAATCTCTAGTGTGTGAAGACTCTATTCAGATTCAATTGTCAGTACCATCACAAACTATGGGCCACATTTACTGAACAGGGCAAAACAGAGTAAGCTGCAATCCCATAAAAGCACAGATGTGAGTGGTAGATCTACTGAAATTAAAGAATGCAGTGCATTTCCATACTGACCAGAGCAACCTACCAAGAGCAGCACAGATTAGCATAGGATCGCAAACAAGCAGAGCCGATGATAATCAGGTGTGTAACAACACAGGCACAAAATGGCTTAAGACATGCTTTTTTGGGGGGCATTAAATGATGGCACATACCAGAAAACTAACTACTGCAAACCGTAGTAAATCATATTGCATAATTCCTTTAAATAGTCTCCTTCCATAAATTTTGCATCTGAAAGGGAAACTCCTACAAAAGCATATGTACAGTAATTAGGTCAGCTGCAAAAATAACTGTGCCCGTGCCTTCTCATTGCTAATTTTTTACTGCGTCTTTACTAAATCCTGACAGTAGCTTTTTTAATGCCAAAAAAGGGCTTGCACTGACACAAGCTATTAGTAAATCTGGCTCTCAATCTGAATCCGAAATTCATATTCCATCAGTACATCAAAATTAGCCAGAGAAATTCTATCGACCATTTTATGTTTATCACATTTGAATAGGTTCTCATAAACAACTATTTCAATGTAGATACTTCACCAGGAACGCCTCTGTAAATAAGGTTTAAACTAGTGATTTGAGTCTTGGCAAAACTCTGTGAAAGTGTGCGTGTGCTCAAGCGTGAGTGACTCAGGCTCTTCTAGTGAAGTCATTTCCCCATCATAGGCCACATTAAGAAGGAACAGCTGCTGTATGATTGAGGGGGAAATGAAGAACGGTCTAAATGTCATTTCCTCTTGCAGTCTCACAGACTCACAGAGCCCTACAATCTGAATTGTGTTTCTAACAGTAAATTAAGATTGGCCACCAAAACCACAAAAGATTTCCACAAGAAAACTGAAGGGGAAAAAAAAGTGTTCTCTCACGTTGCATTGCAGTTCTGGAGCTGTGTCTATTAATAAAACAAACTAGTACCTCAATGCAAAATTCCCAGATAAAAAACCCTGATGGTATTAGAATTATTTAATTTCATTTGCCATTTTTGTTGTTGTTGTTATTTGTGTGTGTGTCTGTGTGGAGTGTGTGTTTGAGCATGCTGGTCGTCTCAAGTGGATTTCCATATGTGCCTACATCACACTGCAGACCAGATGACCCACTTGCAGTTTTACTGTAATGTGACATAAAAGTTTTAATACTTCTTGAAGCCACTACATATCCTACATAAGAGCTCCTCTTGCAGACATTTTGCAATTAGTCATTGAATTACTGGATGATAAAATTCAACCAAAGAAATCACACAGGCATCACATAACCACCAATGTTACAATAAAAACAACATGTTTGCTGATTTGTAGTTTTGCTGCAGGGCTGTTGGCACAGGATATGATGTGGCTGTTCTGTGTCCTCCAGCAAAGGAAGCAGCCGTTCCCTGCTGATCTTTCTGGTGTTATGTTATCTAGCTCAGCACTGCAGACATGTGACAGACAAAAACACAACACACAAGTGTTGAACTGAAAGCTCAGGCCCTGATTTCCATCATCACAGGGGAAAAAAGGTAATAAAAAACACAAACAGCAACTTTAATGTGAAAATTCGTCCAGAATGACGAATGCCTCATGGCCTTCCAATAGTTAACAGAGAAGCACAGACCTTCCACAACAACACTGGACATTATAAATAAACCATAACATGAAGCTTTAAAGCACTGCTCTGCATGAAAGTCTTGAATAAGATGTCTAAACTCAGCCGAGGACATCTCTAACTAATAAATAACGCAAATATATTCAGGTTCATGCTTTCTAAGAACTCTGTGTTCGAGACCTGAAAAATGGGCTAAAAAAACACCGTCATTAATGTGATCATCTCATAAATATAGAGCAATGCTTCTGTCAGCACACATGACCATTGCTACAGGGACCACAGAATGAAGGAAACCGGTGCTACATTTACATAAACCACGTCAACAGCACATCACAAGCTTCTATATACACAGGATTTTCAATACACACATTATATTCCACTATTTTACAGCACTTTGAAACATTTATTGGCTTAATTCGGATGTACTGTAACGTGACAAAGGCCACTTCCAGTAACATCACTGAATACATCAATATAAACAAATATTCTTTAATGGCATTCGTTTTACACTATTATCAAACCGCATTGTTTAATCATTCGTTCAGACCTAAACTTGCGCACAAACACTAGTTATAGTCCAGTCTTACCAGCTGTCCAGCTCCAGCTCAAGCAGAGACTGTGTTTTCTCTGAGTTGCACTGCAAACACCACATATCTGCAGAAGAACACACGTCCACAACTCAACCATCACTGGATCCGAGCGCTCCAGGGCTCTGAGTTCAGCACAAGAACAGCTCTACTGCTCTGAGAGACCGAGCCTGTCTCTCTCTCTCTCAGCATGAGGGGGCGAGGTCTATCTCTCACATCCACCAAGAGGAATCCCACCGACAGACTTGATGCCAACAGCTTATGAAACGCAAACCCTGCTTCAGATGTACAGTGAAAGAAGGCGGGAGAGAGGGAAGGAACCAGTGAATGAGTGAACACTCACAGGGTGACTTCTGCACGGGGCGGCGGTGGAATGCAAGTGGGAAAAAGAGGAAGCAGCTCTATTAATAGAGCCTTTCAGAGAGTGAGAGAGAGAGATTGTCCTGTTCAAACTCTCCAGCTTCTGCTGCTCTGCTCGGACGATCATGTGTTTATGTGCTTCATGTCTACCGCTTTGTGTGTTTAGACTCTGAAAAAACAAATGCACACTGTTTCTCAGCGTCACAAAAACATGCTGCACGTTTTTAGAGAGAAAAAGACGTTGAGTATTATTTGACCTTGTTTCAGTGACCTTCCTTTGAATATATATGTGAACACATGCCTTTATAGAGGTTGTCTTGATTCTTTTTCTTATATTCTCAGTTTCTCTCTTTTTCTGTTCTTATGGTTACACTTGTAAGAGCATACAGCCTTACAGCACGTAAACCAGTTCACCGAATCAATGGAAATAGATTTTATACAAAAATCTACATCCTTTATTGATTAAACTAAATAATTATTATTTCTCATTACAAACACCAGTTATGCAGATAAATATAAAACGTTTCCCCTTATTCTATAAACTTCTGTCATTTCTGCCATCTGTATTATAAATATTTATGTGAAAACATAAAAGCGATATTTACACATAAATTACACAGCTTTAACATAAACACATACACTTAATGTAAATAATAAACTGCATATTTAAACAATAAACTTAAATAACCAGCATATTTATTTACATAACCTGCATATTTGTTTTCATATTTAATATTGATAAATATATAAACCTGGTTATTTTGTATTTAAGATACATTCAGTTTATTAGTATTATTACAGAAATTGTACCTGTTTCATTTATGTTTCACTAACAAATATGCACCACATTAAGTTTATTAGTTTATGTTACAATATATTTAGTTTTAACATAGTAAACAAAGTAATAACTTATTAATGGAGTATACTGGGCCCTACATATTTCATTACATTATAAGGCATCATTAAAGCAATAAGCCCCAAGAAGCCGTGGTTTACAGTGAATTTATAACAGCTAAGGGGCGTT